GGTGTATTATATTCTTATTATTGTTGACATTAAATTGAGTTTAATAAATTATGTTAATTCGTCGAAGAACTAAAATAATTTCAATAATCACTTAATCACACAAAGTAACAGTACAAGCAAGAATAAAAATTGATGAGGTGTAAATTCAGAACGCATCCGAAGATTAACTTTTTCTTTTAATAAAAAAAACTGATGTTTTATAGTTTTAACTGTTTTTCTTTCATCTACCATATTCCTCGCTGTAGTGAGGTGAAAAGTTGTGTGTTTCGTTCGGCAGCAAAGTTGTTTTGTGTCTCGTGTCTTGAAACCCTCGCTACGCTCAGGAATCTATATTTGAACCACTCGCTTCGCTCATGGTTCAATCTTAGCTTCCTTCGCTTGCTCAGGTTTCAATACAAGCACTCGCGTAAAACAACAACTTTGCAGCCTTGCGTAGCAAATAACTATTAATCATTAGTTATCTTCTTCGCTTCCTCTTCTAGATTAGAAATATACACTTGTGGATCTTGAGAGAACTTGTGAAATATCGAATGAAATTCAATAGTAAACAACAAGACTTTAATGGTTTAACAATATAAAGCAATATATCACATTGTATATCTTTTCAATTTCAATTATAGTCGTCACCAAATAAGAGGCCAAATTTTATAGCTAAAGAAGGCGATAGTATGTAACTTTGATGCGATCAACGAAACAATAAACAAACAATTATTAGCATAATTGTGTTTAAAAAATACATAAATTTTATTGAAACATTATATAATATGACAAAACATATTTGAAGTACTGTTTTCGCACGAATTCCAAAATAAAATGCAATTTTGAGTTACCCCGAAACGTCCTGAAAGCAGTTACGTTCTCAAGCCACTTTTTTTTAAATAATAGTGTTGTAAGCAATTAATCGCCGAATTTCACCCGAGTCACTTCGATTTTTCGGAAAAAAATATAAAAAAATATTAGAAAAAATTATGAACATTATTTGAGATTGTTTGTTGGTGACATTGACAACTTCTAAATTTATGAAATCCTTAGTTGCTTGGTAATTTAATCTTTTTATGTAGTTGTTTTATCGATGAACATACTTATTTACACTAAATTCCCGTAATAAACTATTTATGAATATTATAAAATCAAAATTAAAACAATTGTATACAATTCATCGGAACCTGGGGCAATATTCCGAAATTAAGAGGAATTGCTACAGAATTGCAAGGAATTCTGTAAATCAATTGCTTTTAACAGAATTACTTATTTTGAACAACAATGAACCGAAAAATAATCTGAACAATCACAAACTCTTAAAATATAGAATGGATTTCTCGTGAAAATCGTATAATGTGATTAGCGATATGATTAGTCCACATCCTTATTTGCGTCACGATGACAAGTGTCAAATGTGACTTCTTATTTGGTGACGACTATAGTTAAGAATACATCTATTTAATTATTTATTATGTTAATTAAGTTCTAAGTTATTAGATACAATACTTGTTGTAAAAAATCACTTATCTCTTTGATACATTTGTTATAAAATTTGTCAAATATGCCAGAACACCCATTCCAACCAGGTTTTCTGATTAAGTCCAAGTTAACACCTAGGCCTTAGGGTCGTATTCTAGAACTCTACTCAATGCTCAAGTCAGGATTGCACTGGAAACACAAGCACTGGAAATACGACCCTAATGGAAGGGATTTGAGTATGATTTCGAGTGCTTTACCATACTCATACCCTGATTTGAGCATTGAGTAGAGTTCTAGAATACGACCCTTAGAGTCCTCTTTATTTATTTATTTTTTATATTTCAAAATTCAGTGCGTATTGGCTGTACTGTATGTGATGCTACAAATGTTTATTTCTAATCTAGAACACGAAGCAAAGAAGATAATGCCGAATCTTATTATGGACACGAAGTATCCGTGGTATGCCACTAATAATGTTAGGTAGGTATTGAATTACCCCCAGCACGTGCGTCTTGGCGAAATGCGACTGCCGACATGTTTTGCTGAAGTCACCCGATAGCATTTTCTGCATGGTTACAAACTTTATGCCCGACTCAACTCAAGCCGATTCCGCGTTTATAAATGTGGTTGCACCCTAATGCTAGTTACTACAGTTAGTTTCGAGGGGGAAGATGGTATTCATATATTTGTAACATCTAACTTTTACTATAGAATCTCTGTTACAACGCAATGAAATTAGCGGTTTCATGAAAAATTGGCCATACTCCATTCAGCTGTAGTAAGGCATCCTTTTTTTCTATTTAGATATTTTATCACGTTTTGAGCTGGTGATCGTTAATGCGTTTTCTAATTTACACTGTTACGTTTACCTTTGGAGGTACGCCAAGAGTGTCAAGTGCCATTCAAAATTGAAGGAGAGTAATCAACGATATCTATGTACTGGTCAATGACAACAATATATATTTGTTATTAACTATTATACAAAGTTACGCCATATATTTGGGAATGTAGTAAAAATTATCAAAAGCACTAACCAGTTAATCATGGCCTGATATTGTATGGTTGTTTGGTTTAAATAACACGGCTCAAAAATAAACTAATGTTATTATAGTAATGTGCTTGACACAGATTACCCGGTCTCAAACTAGAGAATTTCGTGTATTATGTGTACCGGAACAATGAATTTGATTAACTACGACGGTACTAGGAAACCGATTTACATAAGATCATTTAATTTTCCTAAATTGGCCACCCTCAAACGCCCACAGCGCTAATCCCTGGGGACCTACGGATGCCAAATAAAACTTAACATTTATCTTCCAACTAATTTCTATACAATATCACATTTCATTATGTCTTAATGCAATTTCTGCTTACCACCCGATGTTAACAACCTAGGTACTAAAGATAATAAGAACTTGAAGACGAATAGTAAAACAATAACAATAATCATAAAGGCGGCAGCGACGTCTAATAAAGATTTCTGAATGAAAGTCATATCTCGGGCTGAAGAATGTAGAGGAGATTGATGGCCCCATCTGATGACACGTTCTGTCCAGTAGACCGCTGTGTCCAGAGGTTTTGTCGGGCGGTCCTTCCACATTTCGGAAATGCGACGAGCAGCTACACGCATTCTGTAAAAGAGAAAGGTTTGCTATTTTAAAACTAGTAATAGTGAAAATACGTCTGTAAGTCTTTTTATGTGGATATAATATATAAAAATAGCCGTGTCGTAATATTACGTTTTTACATCGTATTGAAAACAAAATAACGACATTAAATAAGAAAGAAAATGTCTAAAAAAACTACTTCTACAATATCTTTCTATTTTCTTTCGAGCACAACACACATCATACTACTCAGGACAACTTGCCGGACCTCGCAAAGGCGCTCGTATATCCTTTCTTTTTAATAGAGCCAGGTAAATTATCTATTTAAAACGAGGTAATAAATAGTAGATTGTACAACAAGTGCATAAAACGCGTCATTTTACTCGAGACGAGCATATGTATCCAGATATCTGGATACTTAAGTCGAGGGTGAAATGGGTTTTATGAACGAGTTATACACTCTGCTTTTCACTCCGACTGCGAGGAAATTAAACAGCAATATTACAAACGAGCCCTGTACCCCACCTACGGCGCGTGGTCGGTTTCAGTTTACGGGGTTTGCTCATGCTCTTCGGTGGCTCAGCAGTGAGTACTATGGGCGCTTGATGAGGAGGTCGATTCCCGATTTATGCCAATTTAATAAACGAACATTTCTAAGTTGGTTTTGGGCTGAGTATTCTGGGTTATCGTTGATTTGGTATTCATAGTACAGGAAATTCGGCAGTAGTTTGGCATTTTTTCCCCCTAAATACTTCTCTTTGGCATAGCTTTCAAGAAAATGAAATCTAACATAGAGACGGTTGAGATACAACAACGCTATAATAAGTATTTCATGTCCACTAGCATGCTTTACATTTTTACAATTGTGAGATCTTGTACTCGTAATCTATTACGTCTCCGTATATTATCTCCATTTGTTGGCGTGCGGACGCTTCGGGCTTCGCCCTCCGCGTTCCTCGGCCTTCGCCCTCCGCGTACCTCAGCCTTCGCCCTCCGCGTACCTCGGCCTACGGCCTCGGCACTTATGGCTTTGTTTTAAAAAAAATTAAATAGCTCTTTAATGGCGGCCATATTAAAAAATTTGACCACATTTTCGTATTACCGGCTCCGAAACACGGAAGAATATAAAATTTCAGCCGGATCGGAGCACCTTTTTGTCGGGCCGCCATCTTGGATCGGCCATTTAAAAAAAATATTTTCGACAGCCAGTTAGCTCTTACCGCCCTCTACAATATTAGGAACTGCCCAGGGTGTGGATGAACATTTGTTTGGAGACTTTGGGTCACGACGTATACTTTAGCCGGGCAGCTGGGGTCCTACCTCATGCGGAGCACGTTTCGAAGGTTTCGTTGCCTTCTGATATTCAATAAGCCCGTCTGACCATAATTCAACTACATTATTTTTATCCTCTCGCCCTCCTGGGAGAAAAATGACGCCAAAGGGCAGAAAATTCACATGTATGGCGGCCATCTTGGGAAATGGCGGAATCGAAATTTCGACCACAAATTCGCATTGTGAGTCCCCATACACGACCGCATGGCAAATTTCAGCCGGATCGGGGCGCCTTTTTTTGGAGCCGCCATTTTGAGTCGGCCATCTTGAGAAAATTTTATCACCGGCAGTTGACCCCCACCGCCCTCTAGGTCGAGCATCCCTCGCCTATGTCCAATACTCGCCGAGCTATAAGGCTCTGAAATTTGTACGGCAGCCATCTTGTTTATTCGAATTTCGAATTTTTTTCACTTCCGGTAGAAATTGACCAAGATGGCGGTCAATTTTAGTTCGACGACCCTTCCGGTAGGTATAATACATTGGCCGCGCTAGAGTCCCACCTGATGCAGTCCATTTTTCGAAGGTTTCGGATTTTTTTGGTACCCACCGATCACGACTCCCGTACATCATTTTTACCCACCGCGACTCCTTCTGGGAGAACAATCATCTAAATCACTGGTTCAGTCAGTCAGTCAGTGGTAATTGAGCTATATAGAGTATAATAATAATAATAATAAACGATTATTTAATTAAAATTGAATGTAAATTTATTGGTAGGTCAATGGTAAAATTACAATAATTAGACATATTTAATGTGATGGTTTTTTTAATTTTATGTAGCCTACACCCAGCATAAATAGGAACTTTAAGAGCATGAGAAGCGAAAATTATATTTTATGCTTATATAAAATGATACATTAATTTAATATTTTTATTTTATTTAATTATCATTATGAACACAATTTCACATAGGTACGATTATTCATATAAGTAAAAAAGAAAAAAAGCATATCAAGAAAAATGGTTATAATTTGAATTTAAATTTGAATCAAGTATTGAAGTCAAATAGAATTCTTTTTTACGGATTAAACATTTAATTTTTGTCAGTATAGATACTTTAAATATGTATTAGTAATAATGCGAATGAATAACCATTTGCTTTCAATAATTTGACGACGACAAAAATTTCAATTCGTTGCATTTCAATATTTTACTTGAAATACATCAATTATGGTTCATCGTATAGTTGAGGTAAATGAATGAACTGTCCTCGTATGATGAGTTGCAAAATGCATCAAATTTTAATTAATCAGATTCGATTAGGTATTTCATTGTATTGCTATTTGAAGTAACCATAATTACATTACATAAGCATAGTAGGTACGTCAGCGGAGTCGGCGAAGCAAGCAATTGGTACCTATTACTGTTGATTGTTGGAATTGGTAAGAACGTAGTTCCTGTTTGCAGAAACATTGCATAAGATTAAGAATGCTTATCACACTCACAAGCTTAAATAAATAATGAACTCATGTCTACCTATTTTGATATTGGGAGCGACGGGAGAGTGCTGGTGAAATAACAGCCACATGGTACTTGTCAACTTATGTCTCAGGGTGACGTACGCAGTGGCAGTCAGTGTTGGGCGTTAATCAATTAAATTTCAATCAATAATTCAATCAGATTAAAAAATCAATTCAATTGAAATCAATTGCAATTAAATCAATTGCAATTAAATCAATTGCGACGCATCGCAACCAACGCCCTAACTCACCCCGAACGGGGGCCCCAACCGGCCCCCTAACCGGGATCCCAAGCGGGGTTCCCAACCGGGGCCCCCAACCGGGACCCCAACCGGGCGCCCGGCCGGGCCCCCTAACCGGCCCCCAACCGGCCCCCTAACCTGCCCCCAGCAGGCCCCCAACAGGCCCCACAACCAACGCCCTAACTCACCCCAACCGGGGCCCCCAAGCGGGCCCCCAACCGGGCCCCCAAACGGGGCCCCTAGCTGGGGCCTCCAGGGCCGCCAACCGGGGCCCCCAGAGCCGCCAACCGGGGCCCCCAGGGCCGCCCACCGGGGCACCCAACCGGGCCCCCCAACCGGCCCCCCAACCGGGCCCCAACCGGGGCCGCCAAGTGGGGCCCCCAACCGGGCCCCCCAACCTGGGACCCAACCGGGGCCCCAACTGGGGCCCCAACCGGGGCCCCAACTGGGCCCCCCAACCGGCCCCCTAACCGGGCTCCCAACCGGGGCCCCCCCGCGGGGGTCCCAACCGGGGCCGCCAACCGGGACCCCCAACCGGGACCCCCAACCGGGCCCCCTGCCGGCCCCCTAACCGGCCCCCAACCGGCCCCCTGACCGGCCCCCAACCGGCCCCCTAAACTGCCCCCAGCAGGCCCCCAACAGGCCCCCACAACCAACGCCCTAACTCACCCCCATATGCCCTATAAATTTATCATAATTGTCAGTTTTAATTGTTAATTGTTAATCAAAAACATTGAAAAGATTGAAAATTGATTAATTGTTAATTGTAGATATTTGCGATTAACGATTGATCAATTGTTAGTTGCGAGAACCGCAATTAACAATTGATTAATTGTTAATTGCGGTTCTCGCAACTACAATGGTTTCGCACAACAAAAAGGTTTCGCAATTGACAATTAATCAATTGTCAATCTTTAATTGCCAGAACAATTAAATTTTGCCCAACACTGGTGGCAGTGACCCTCAGATCTTTGCAATTTAAAGCTTTGAGTGGCACTGCAACTGTCATGGACAGCGTGTAGCTTATCAGGCACATGACTTATTCGTCCCGTCATTTGATATTACAAAAAAAGGATATTATGCGCACCTGCGTACACTGACGAGTAATGTTATATTTTTGTAACGATATTGTACATTGCATAATGAACTTTATGGTCAATTAGTGTAACGTACAAACTAGATACGAGCCAAAATCATCCGTGGAATGCGCGAGCATTCTCGACCACAAAACTTCGCTTCCACTCGCTTCCGCCGCAATATAAATTGAGCCTTAGGGTACGTTCCCACGGCCCGTGATATCAAACGCGCCGATTTGTACGGGCGAGCTCGCGAAACGGACGAGTCCGGACGGCCTCTTGCAGATGCGCGTGGCGTCGTTTATTCAAGTATGTATTGAAACGTAGTAATTTAAGTTGAGGTTACCGATCAGAGGCGGATTCGAAAAGGCCGCCAAGGGCGCGCTCGGGCGGCCCTCTTCCCGCGCGCGAGTTGCAAAACGGGCCGTGGGAAGCCGTTTTTACGATATCGCGAGTAACGGATACTCGTAATACATCGTACCATACCGTCGTGTCATACCACCACTCAGATTTGATTCTCTTCCACTAGCGACTACGCAATCGAAAAGCGTTTGCAGGCAGAATCCGACGTATTCCTGCGCCCCTCGTCGTGGCATCCCTAGAGTGCTCTTCAATACCACAGGGTGAAATGCGCTGCGATAATCTGAGGTCGTTCTCAGAGCATTGAAATTTATACCTTATTTCAATAGAAATAGCCTTACATTCCGCCGGATCTCCACACTCTTACTTATGTGGTGCGGGGATTATCCGGGTGCATAAGTAAGTATCATTTTGTTTATAAGGTTTCTATTTCAGAGCACATATCGTATTAGACGTACCGTAGCTTAGGTAGACATGTGCCGAAGCCAGATATGGCACGTATACCTAAATAAGGTACGTACCAAGAGAAGATTGTTTGTATTGTCCCACGTATTAGATTACCTACTTGTTGTCTTTTATGTTCTTAATATACCTGAACGATATCACTACAAACGTAAATATTCAAAAGCGAATCAAATATTAGCATTAGTAGCAGTTTCGATCTTGTTCAACCCTGCAAGATTTGAGAAAGAATAAGGTACGTCAAACTCAGACATGGGCGTTAGGTTAGTAGTTAGCAATACCTATGCATTGTGATTTTCAAATAAATATCTATTATTAGACGTGTCCTAGTGTCGGTACCGAAAACACAGTTTCTCCTAACAGCAAGGTTGGTTGGTTGTCGTAACACGCAAAGTATTGTGTCGATGATGTTACATTATATTATTTACAAAATAATGTATACCTGTGATCAAAATGTCGCAAAAAAAAACTGCTAGCGAAGTCAGTGAAATATCAACAACATATACACCGACAATCGAAAAACTAACAAACGAAGGTGCGGGCAACTCAGGCGGAGTTACCTTGTACCCTTAACATATATACATAATTGGTTTATTCTATGTTATTTATTATTAATTATTCTTATGCGCGAGTTTAGCGTACATACATAAAATTTTCAACCATTTTGGTGATCGTAATTTTATAGTTAATTTTTCGTCATTTGGTTGGCCTTCAAATGCACCTACTCTGTTACGCTGTTCTAAAATCTGAACGAACACTTATTGTCATTTTTTGTAAGAATAGTAGAATATGATAGTTTGATAAGTAGCAACAGGTAATTGTAAGACTTGCAAGACTCTTGCAGCCAGACCGAAACCAATACCAAGATTGAGTGTGGAGTGCTGGGACCAAGATCAAGACTGGGGTTAGTTTCATCTTGATCTTCTATTGGGCAACACTAGAATCAAGCTGCATGATAATGTGTCTTGCAGCTGTGGAATAGCTATTTCGGTTCATCCTTTTTTGCCCTGCAGAACCACAATGGTGTTTTTAATTTATCTTTTGTTATTTAATGTGGGTGTGGGGTTAAAGTTTGTAAACGACTAAATAAAACAAAATTTTCTTCTGTTATACTCATCTGACCACTTTTCAAGTCATCATTGATCGTAAAGTCTGCATTGCATGTAGAGTTTGTTTTACGCGTGCTTGATAACACAGGTAATTTAACAATATCACGCAACCCACCTGTGCAGTTAATGTTTGCAATTTCCCGTCTTTCACAGTCTGCATCAAAACGATCTATAGGAGACTTTCCAAGTAGACATAGAAATGAGACTCCAGTGACTGTTATAAATTATATTATAAGATCTTTCACTATAAATCCAAACAAAACAAAACACGTCTGTTCTAGTCAGAGATGCTTTTCGTAATGGCGGCCGCCTGTCACCGTTCCGTTGATATCAATGATGATGATATCGATTTATTTCTTATTTCGATGAAACTAATTCTTAATGACGCAAAGTAAGTTTTCTAACAAAATAAAATAATATAATGTCACGATACGCTAACAAACGGCCATTCTGCTCTAGGAATGTCCTCATTCCGGAATGAGCTCGACATTCGATAACTTTAACAGAAAAGAATGACAAAATGTGCTGCACGAATTTAGTAATTGTCCATATTCAAAAGCTGAACAAAGAGACAAAGTTATGAAAATGACTTATTGTGCTATCAATTAGTATTAAAAAAATTAGCTCACAGTTTGTGCTATGAGCTAAATTTTCTAATTATATTTGTTTATATTATATTTGTATATAAGAAAATACAACTCAATAGAAGATTAATAAAAACATTGGCTGTGGATAAGTTATTAAATTATGTAAGTTTTAAGTAAAGCAATGCTGGATTTGACGCTTTAAGGAGAAATCCCAAGATCAATGTAATTGATCCTAAATAAGCAAAGCTGATTTCTCTTTATTGCTGATGCAGGAACCGTGTGAGAAATTTAGTAATACCTCCCTCCTTGTAACTACTTTAAATGACACTCAGAATAATATTATTCTGTATAGCGATGGATGGATATACATATAGGTTTGCAACTTGACTACCAAGACCACAATTAACAAATATGAATTATTTATGATATAAGGAAAATGACGGGACGAACAAGTTGCGCGCCCAGTAGCAAGCGACACGCCTATTCACAGATGCTGCGCATTGCCATTCAACTTCAAATCGCAAGCCATCCGAGGGGTACTGCCACCGCGCTCGTCACTCCGAGACACAAAGTTGACCAGTCCCAAGTGCCTACAATTTCATCAGCACCCACACCCCTCAAAACCGGAATGCAACAATGCCCAATGTTATCCGATTCCAGTCCAGACCCTGTCCTTTGACAGGGTCTGGACTGGAATCGGATCTAAAACCTTTGTTTTAGAAATATCCAAAGACACTGCAAGTGCTTCACCTTGCTTTTCATAGCCTCGCTCCATATGTGACAGGCATACACAAAAAGATTCCCAGTTGATCGCCCTCTTCGGAATCCGTACTGGCGATCACTGAGGAGGTCGTTGTCTTCAAGGTACCTACGACAAGAGACGGTTGTTGAGTACACTTTCCATAGTCTTGCAGAATATGGAAGTGACTGAGATAGGTCTATAGTTGACAGAGTCAGCTCTGCTTCCCTTTTTCGGCACAGGTTGCACGTTTGCAAGTTTCCACGGCCTGGAAACTACACCAGTCTCAAGTGAGAGGCGGTACAGGCGTTACGCGTGAGAACAGGAGACAACTAAGGCGCACAGTTACGTAGGACTAGTGCTGGGATTCCATCTGGCTCGCTAGCTTTATTGACATCTAGATTCCGCAGAGTTCTAAGCATCTCTTTTTGGCGTACGAGAATTGGCGCCATAGTGCAGCCAGCCTGAGGTAAGATTAGATTCAGACGCGAACTCTTTGCAAAGAGTGAGGCAAAAAGATTTGCCTTGTCTTCTGCAATGTAAGCCAGCGTGCCGTCCGGCCTCAGCAGAGGTGACATAGATAGGCGACAAAAGTTAATTAGTGAGTTTAATATTTAAAGATTTTTTGTTTAAAAAATTAATTTGTCAATTTCTGGCGTCGCCATTTTCACTATGCATACACATTATGGAAGCGTGCGCGTGCATTCGATCGGAGCGCCTGATCGAACTGATAAAAATTTGGTTACTATACAAAATACGTTATTTTGTTTTTTCCCTTTGAAAAAGTATTTGTATAACGGTTTTTGTAAAAAGCCGAAACGCCGCCGCCGCCGACACTTTTTTGTCGGCGCGCTGCCGCCGGTTGGTCTATTATCGGCGCTCATATCTAGTGAGAACTGGCATTATCGTGGTGCAAGATGATACGGCGTTTACGGCTATTTTTACAGAGCTTGTCAATAACTTCCGGGAAACAAATGGTCGTGTACCAATCACTATTCACGGTACAACAGTTTCCAATGCAACAGTAACCACGTGTCCAGTTTTATTTAAAAAAAGAAGGCACTTAGAGGCACTTTGTTTGTTTTGGTTGGTTTCGGCTCGTTTCGAAAGACCCAAACGTTCTGTTGCTGCTTTGTTGGATCGTAACTATAAATCCAAGTTTCGTCACCTGTTACTGTGTCCCACACCAAATGTGACGCCCCTTCGTTGAATCTGGTAAGCATGGCATTGCACCAAGTAACGCGATCCGTTTTTTGAGCCTCAGTCATATTGTGTGGGATCCACCGAGAGCACAGCTTTTTCACACCCAAATGTTTGTGTAGTATTGATTGTATTTGACTCATGCTTATGCCTAAAGATGCCCGAATCTCATGGTATGTCACATGCCTGTCTGTTTTGATCATAAGGTGCACAGCATAGATGTTTTTGTTGTTCACAGTAGTGGACGGGCGACTATCACGAAATTCGTCACTGAGATTCACACGGCCGCGTTTGAATTCTGCAAACCAGCTATAAACTTAAAGTCGTAGAAAATCATACTACGAAAATTTTCACGGGTTAAATCCATGGTGATGTAGACAACCAATTTCTAAAATGACGCCACAATGTAAAAGCAAGTGACAGTCAGATAAAACAAACTGTATTCTACAGCTAAAGAGTTCCATTTTGAAATGCTGTAATTACTTTTTAAATATTGTTTATGTAAGTGGTCAGTTCCGGAAACTTATAGTGCGCCCTATGTATATGTGAAATTAGAACAATGTTCATGGTTAATTTTTAAGCTATCCAAATAAATGTCGTGAACATGTCAAGTGACATAGCAATTACAATCAAATATAATATTAGGTACTCACTCAGCGCTTAGAACGTCCTGTAAAGCTTCAAAGAGGGCCTTTTCACTAAGTTCTGCGTAAGGGACGACTTTGGCTAAACCAACTTCTTGAGCCGCCGCGCCGTTGGTGGGCTGGTCACCGAAAAACGGCATTACCACCATCGGCTTGCCCGCTGATATGGCTTCAGTCATGCCAAGAAGACCTCCATGGGCCACGAAGGCAAGAACCTTGGGGTGCTCTGTAAATAATACATTTACATTTGTGTTAAAATGTTTAAAATTACCTATCTCAGAATGTTCTTCTTTGAATTTAAGTGGAATCTCTTGTCAGTGCATTCATATTTCTGTCTTATACGCTTTCTATCGAATGACCTCGTTCGGTTGTATTGTCATTCCTTATTGAGCGCTCGGTAAAGACGCAAATTATTGCATTATTTCGTTAGAGAGCTCTACGTAAGTATTAATTATTTTTAATGTGTAACAAATTAACATAGACAAGTACTTCTCTGCAAATAACAATAATGGGTAGTTGGCATGTCGCCACAAAATATTCTAAGCAATAAATACATAAATAAGTCTTTGTCGTAGGTAGTTGTACAAAGTATGTAAGTCTTTGTTTTGGTTATACAATATATGTATGTACATACATTGTTTATGTTTGCTTTTTGGATACATGTCCGATCTAGAATAGACTGTGTCCGGTTTGCCCGGTTTTTGTTAGGTTTTTTATATTTGACCAAGTTTTGTTTTCTTTAATTTTGACTTCGATGGATAGATGGAGTAATAATAGATGATTGATAATAAAGAAGACTGATTTATTTATTCAAGTTAATTTTTATTTCATTAGAATTTAACAAGATTGTTTTGATAAAATTAAATGATCAAAAAAGCCTGTTTAAAAATTGTCTTTATTAACAACGACACAAAATCCTTAAAAACGTAGGGCGTCCGGCCTTTTTATTCAAATGTCCCGCTAAAGAAGCTGTTCTGTATCTCTATTCAGTTTTAAAACCTGGCAACCCTAGTTGCAAAGAATGCCGGAGAGTAATTTAATGTATGTGGTACTAAGCGAAGAGTTTGGACATTTTAAACAATACTATTGTAAATTGTTACATATTATGGACTCGTGTGTTTTATTCTGTACCTATGCATATATTTGAAACGGTCGATATGTGACTTTTGTCACGTCACCCTTCACTCATTCAAATGAATGAGTGAAGGGTGACGTTATATAAAAGATACATACACACACACACACACACAAAATATATATTACAGACACACACACACGCACACGCACACACACACACACACACGAGAGAAATAAATGTAGGCCATACAAATATTACTCCCGGCCCGGAAATCGAACCCAGGACCTCTGCGTGGCAGACCTGCATAGTAACCATTCAGCCACAGTGGCAGTATTGTATCGGTGGTTCTTTCTATGGAAAAATAACTCAATTGACAATCAACATCAACCCATTTATACGTCCCATTGGTGGGCACGGGTCTCAGGCGACGGACGGACGGACGGGGAGACGCCTGTTGGCCAAATGCGGGGACTTCACACTTTTTCCGAAGGTTGTGAACCTTCTTCGACGTGCAGGTTTCATCACAGTGTATTTCTTCATTGAAAAATTCATGGTAAATTTCAAATTAAATTTCGCACATAAATTACGAAAAACTCAGTGCTGCGAGGTAGGATTCGAACCCGCGACCTCTGCTTGTGGTGTAGGTCTAATAGGCTACCACGGCTTATAAAATATAATGCAATTCAAAGTAATTGATGAAAATATAATGCAAAAGTAACTAATGAAAGTAGATATAACGCTACTACATGCGTCTTAATTACTTACGTAATAATTCGTATTGGGGTATCCACTTCACTCTCAGGATGTTTCCAGTCAAGGTGCCTTCTTCTCCACTATTTTCATACTTCCACAGAACTCTCTGTTTCAGTTTGGACATAGCGTTCACGATCATCTGCTCCTTGTACTTTGGCAAAGTTGCAGTCTTGATGAGGGACCCAAAACTCAGTAAGACAACCCCTTCTTTTGACTCGTTTAGGAAACGTTCGATGTACTGAAATTTTTAAATAAAACAATTAAAGTATAAAAGTAACGGGACTTACTCGCGTAGTATTTTAGTCGGAAGCGGTCCGACTATTTTCAACCATAATCGATGGTCTTCTTCAGGGGTTGAGTGCAACGTTCGCGACCGCGTCACGTCTAGCACTGAGTCACTCAGTGACTCAATATAATATGTGATAACCGCGTTAGTTTTCATAATAAAATTAATAAGTAGGAAAATGATTTTCCCGTTTTGTAAGTTTCCTAAAAAGTCATATTTGGCGTTTATTATATTATAAACTCTAAATATCAAAGGATTTTACTTAGTAATGTATGGAACTGTGCTCTCATTATTAGTTCATTTACAATATAATATAACTCAAAAAAAAAAGCAAACCTGAATACAATTATGCCATTTAGTTCTATTCATGAGTCAAGTACTAAAACTCACATTTAAATTAGGTATTCTTTCTGAGCAGTTAGAGAACACACTACGGCTCAACTCGCACTGGGGCAGAGTCGAAGCGTCGCGACGCGTCATGTTTTTCGCCTATAGTATATTCATCTCTATTTTCCTATTATTAAGGTACAAATTTGTATTACGCAAATATGGAATCGCCCGTCGACGCGCGTTTCCTGCGCGTTGTGAATGTTCACAAGTCTCTGAGTTCTGGTTCAGCACTGTGATCCGAGCGCCTAATGCAAGCGTCGTCTCGCGACAACGAAAATTTATGTATAAAACATAATGTGGAATGTATTTAGAACATTAACTGTTTAATATCAAATGTATATTTTAACTGTTTCTTTTCATCAGAAAAACCTAAAAAAATATTTCAACACATTTATCTATAAATTTAGAATTTGCTGCTTGTGCTTTTCTTCATTCCGAAGAACGAAACGTGTTAAACTAAGAAAAGGTAGAAATAAATAATCCACGATACGAACAAACCAATCGACATGAAAAACAAACCTTTACCTAAAAAATGTTTTTAATTAATTTGTCACCGACATGCGACAGTGGAAATTCGAAATGTCGTTTATTTGTAAGTCAATGGTCGTAAGGAACATTTTGTCGTAAGGGACGTTTTTATGCAACATTTTTAAACTGTATCGACTTCTATATTTGAAAATTCGATATCTTTTATAGTTTGGAAGAACAGCACATCGCGTTTTGTAGTAACTGCAAAAGAAGTAAAAAAAGCACTACCTACTATTAAAATACAGTCTATTTTAATTGTTGATAATGTTGTTGTAAGCCCTACATTTATCTGATATTCATGTTGTAACGCGGTCACAAAAAATTAGACTCCTTTCCAACATATGACATGTCCTCCGTTATAATAGAGATAGTAATCTCTATAATTATGGTAGTGGCCCAGTAAAAATTTGTCAGACATCTATAGATCTGAAAATAAAGACAAAGTCAAGAAAATAACTTTGTGACTATTAATTAAATTAAAATAATAACCACAAGGACTTGGTTGTAATAAGTTTCGTCCGCCTTATTTGTAGCAAGCTACATAATTGTGTAGTAATTAGGTATAGTTAGAATGGGTATCGTGGTATCGCCCAGGAGTCGATTTCTTATCTAGGGGTCGTATTCCAGAACTCTACTCAATGCTCAAGGCAGGACATGAATATTGCAGTGAGCACTGAAAATCATACTCAAGTCCTTGCCATTAGGGTCGTATTTCCAGTGCTTGAAATCATACTCAAGTCTGCTCAAATCCTGACTTGAGCATTGAGTAGAGTTCTGGAATACGACCCTACGTGTGTTTTATTACCGTAGGCACTTGAAAGTTTCACTACTTTTAAATTCAGAGCAGAGGTTCGCAAAACTTTTTTGTCTCGTAGACTAGTGATGCAACGAAAATGTCACGACGGAAACAGATGTCAAAAGTAAATCTTAGCAGAAACGGAAGCGGATACGGAAGAAGTATAAATACTATAAAGATATCAACAAAATTGCTCCAAACAGTGTTTTTGGTTTTATAATTGTATTCAACACAAGACTACCAATTTAAAAATGCGTATCCCACAGTCTAGCAATTCGCGCGCGTCTCATCCATCGCTAACATTGTAAAGTTCTGGTTACATTAGGTAATACATATTATAAAAGTTGCGGAAGCAGAAGTAGAAATCTGTAGCGTCGCTATGATTATTGTGAATCACATGCAATTTTTTTCGTTTTTGCGAAGACCCGCTGCCTTTCTAAAATGTTTTTATTGCAAATTCATCACCTTAAAAATGTGCTATTGGCAGCTGACACAGTTCTTTGACTTTGATAAGTTTAATTGTATAGTGACAAACTTTAAAACACAATGTTAAGTTTTACACATTTATCTAACCTAACCGAATATGTTGTTTATTGTGAAATATTTCCTTCATAGGTAAATTGTATGTATGTCAATCTATTATAAGAAAGTATTACGTGTTTACATAGGTACCTACTATCTATGTAATGTGGATTAGTCCATGTCCTTTTTAGTAGCGGTAGAGCTCCTTGTGAAAGGGTTCGTCCTGGGAAGTACTGCCACCTTACCTATTTCTGCCGCCAAGCAGTAATGTTAGCATTACTGTGTTCCGGTTTTAAAGGGTAAGGGTGCTGGTGAAATTACAGGCACGTGGGACTTGTTAACGAATGTCTCAGGGTGACGGGCGCAGTGGCAGTGCCCCACAGATATTTGCGATTTAAAGCTCTGAGTGGCACTGCAACTGTTATGGACAGGCGTGTAGCTTACCATCAGGCGCACGATTTGTTCATCCCGTCACTTGATATTACATATAAAAAAAAAAATATCCCAGGGGTCTAGGATCGGTACTGTAGACTAGGCTTTACTCTGAGTAGAATTGCTGACTGAACGATCCTAACAAATTCTAAACATCACTACTTCCTAACTGTCTAAGCCTAAACTATCTCCAACGTGCATGCTGCCACAACGACGACACAGGCTTGAACATCCATCGGACGATCACTGGGTTACATCACTATTGATCTCCCAGCTGCCTTGTCCTCATCCTGCAGCTATCACGTACAGACTACTTTTGGAGTCATCGCGCTGAAGATTTTAAAACAGAATGTAGAAAATCGGTTAATACTCCTTACTGATATTTGTAAATGCGTTGCATGCGCGACGCATGCACTGCATAATTATATGTTCGGCGCGTCTCTGTAGGCAAGAAAGCATAGATGGTGCGCGAAAGGCGCGCGCGCGAACAAATGACACTACGAAATTTTACAAGTATAATATCATTGACGAAATGCATGTGTGAACAAACTGCATTTGTTGCCATAGCGACCGAAAATCGCAAAAAAAAACGCAAACCAAATATCGTTGACGCTAACCTTTTTTTATTTATTTTGTTTTAAACATATATTTAGTATATTAGCCTTTATTTAATGCCACGTAAACATTTGTTATTATTCTAAAAATATTGCTAAATATATTTGAAATTAAATATGCATAGACATTTATCACAAGAGATAGCAAACATTTGTTAACAATGTTTTTTAATACAATTTCAAGCATCACTAAACTGTCGAAGAAAACAAGTAATTGCATAACAAGATACGTGTCACATTAAATTGTACTCACATGAGGTATTGGCTTCCTGGTATGATCTAAATGCATTCCCCCCGCTTCTATTACGCCCGGCAACGACGGTCGTACTCCATTAACCGTGTAATGTGTGTTGACAATAATCAACGATAAATTTTTTGCCAAATCATGTAAATCCGGGATTCTTCTACCAAAATGCTTTTCAATTATCTCTTGTTCTTTTTCTTGAATCATACGTCGGAACCAGTATTTATAATATACACTCAGTAACGTGTTCTCCATCCGATTAAAGAAATTCATTTTCGTCGTAAAATAAGTGGTCAATTGTGGCACGTATGCAGGGTTGTCATTTAAGCCGAGACGGTCCGGTACCCATGGCAGTAAATCACTAGAAGATACTGCCACTATGGGCGCTTTGATACCATACACATGTGCAAGACCTACCATACAATCACTAGTAAAATATTCCACAATAATCAAATCATATTGTTGGCTAAACGCTTCTTTCGCCGCTGGCCAATCCATTGACTTCATGCAGGTATTAATTGCAAATTCGTTCAAAGGCCAAAATGCAAACACTTTAAATAGCAACGTGTCAAGTCCTAACAGCTTCATCACTGGATTAGGGTTCTCAAATAGAGCCAGGTTCACAGACTCCAATCCAAGTTGTGATATTCCTTCCAAGCTATAGTCTGTGTAGTTTGCCGGTGGATTTTTTAAAGGGAAGAAGGATACTACATGGACGTCATGTCCTCTCTCTGCTAATTTATTAAGTAATGGCTCGAAAACCATTTGATGGCTTCGGCCTGTGTGGGGAAATAAACCAAGGATGCGTGCGGGCTGGACATCGCTCAATAGCGCGAACAACGCGACCAAATAAAACACAAATGACCGCATGACGGCTGTTCGCTACGAAACCGCGCGGAATACTGTGTGTGGTATGGCATCGAAACTACAGTGAGACGCCCCGCAACTTGACTATTTTCAGCGTATAGTTTGTCCAATTCAATTATGTAACCGAACTCTGAACTGCATGGCTATGTAGCATGCTTATGTCAACAAAGGTTACCTAATCATAATACCTAACAACTATAACGATGACGATTATATTTGCCCCCAACAGGGGGTACAGCTGGTAGGGACTAATGGAATAAATCGATTATATTACAAAAGACAGCACATCAATACTATTTGCAGGTACGGAGTTTATTTATGAGTAAAATTGTGTAAAAAGCCGTATTAGCTGCACATATTATTCATTTCAATTAACAAAAAAATAGACAAATTTGGAAGAAGTAAATAATAGAATAGAAGAAATAAAATTTTTATTATATTTTTCATCAAAAAGTACATTGTTATTTTTTAAATTTATTTATGAATTAGAATGAGATCATCAATCAAGTCATACGCGCATAGTTTACTTCTTTACTTTTTAACTACAATAAACAGACAAGGCATTATATGCACATCAATCCATTAAGTGACAATGGTAAAGCAAGTATTTTAGTCCTTTCGTAAACATATATATGTAATGTGTTAAATAAAGACTGGAAGAATATTACAATACATTGATTTCAACTTTCACCATTTTCACACATTATTTGATTTCAAAATCGGAACGTATTCGTATATAAGTATAGGTAAAACGTATTTATTTACCGCGACGTTTAGGATATGTCCCGATTTTGAAATCAAATGATATGTATTACATTTTGAACTCTATAAAAATAAATTTATTCTTGTCGTATCGATGGCATACTACCTATATAATGCTTGCCATTGTGGGGAAAGGATTTACCAATCGGCGTAAGGTACTCGTAGAATGTTGCCCAGTTACAGGACAGGAATAGTACGTCGTAGGCTCTTTTCGTGCACCCCAATAAATAAATCTTCCATAATTGTATTTTGTAAAATCAAAGATGTCCAATACTAGGGCTGCACCAGGAGCTTTCTGTGTCTCTTTTTAAACAACTTGTATAATGTCATCCATATTAGTAAATTTGCCCTAGTAACCTTGTTATCAACATAACTATAGGTCTTTACATAAGATAGCGTCATCATTATTTTCAGGGTTATTTTCAGTGATGTATTATGAACTAATTAACCTAATAAAGAGATAATTAAGATGATGTACTACAAGCCATAATTTAATGAAGAATTATATGCTTATTCAAACGTGATATATTACGTGTGAAACTTGAGAAAATCTATGACGTAATGAGTTCCTAGGTTTTCGCGATTGTTACACATAGGAAATGAAACTATTTTTCAGGATTTAAATCGCGCATATTTTGTTTTTTCAAATAAACCGACGTTTCGGGCCCTTTACAGGTCCCATGGTCACGGTTGACTGAGGTGGTATAGTCATCAACCAGTTACGTCTAATATTAATGCAAATCACCCTATGTTTTCATTACAAAAGTTATTCATTAAATACCTAGTTTTTAATTTTGCAAAGAAAGCTTTCCAATTTACGCTACGTTACGTTTTACAAATTATTTTATTGAATGAATTTTTATTAAGTTCAATTTATTAATAATTAATAATAGAAATTAGAATAAATAAATTTTATTTCAAAAAAGGTTTGTTTGAAAAAACAAATATACGCGATTTAAATCATTTTCAGTTTCATGTCCTACTTATGATGCAATTAAAATATAAAATGCCCAAAAAATTTTTCAAAAACCGTAAAAATTTCGTTGGATGTGGTTATGTAATTATATCGAGGCGCTTAAAGGAAACTGAAAACTGGCTCGGAATCAGGTTAGTAAGCTAGTAGTTACAGTTTCTTTTTAATCTGAGAACAATGTTTTTTTCTTTGGTGTAATTCGTTTCGCCGAACAAGATTTACGGTTAAGTAATAGCTTTAGTGAACAGAGCATGCCTAAGTTACGATGTGAAGCGTTAAATTTACACATGAATGAGCACATCCACTTTGAACTTATATAATTTTTCTTTAAATATTCAAATATACTAACGAAACATAGAAGTAGTTAACCTCTTGGCCAACTACCAAAAAACGAAGAACTGCCAAAAAACGAAAAAACCAGTACATTCGGGTTCTTGCCCAAATGTACTGTTTTTTTCGTTTTTTGGCAGATAAAATTTACGAATATTATATCTATAGTGAACATAGTAGGTATGTACTTTCTTTTTAACTCCAAATGAAGTTTACATTTTTCATTTAAAAATAATGTATTTGAAATTAAAAACAAGCCAATCGCTTATTTCTTATAACAACCGCAAGCAGTAATCACAAATGAAATAACAGTACTTGCAAAGAGGAAAAGAAACCGGAAGTAAGTTACGTAACCAAAAGAAACAAGAAGCTCTACCGTGTCAAACCAATACACAATACAATGCTGTATAGTACAAATACGACGACGACGGTGGAAATTTGAAATATCGTAAAGAATATTTTGTCGAAATAGAAAATGTTCCTTGCTACAAAATATCGCTTATGACATTTCAAAATTGGATACATCGGCGAAATTATTACCACTATGTCGACGGTGGAAATTTGAAATGTTAGGACATTTAGAGACAATAGAGACATTTTGTCGTTAGGTCTTTTTCCCTTACGACATTATATAAATGAAACATAAATTTCCATCATCGATATACTTTATTGCACACAAGAAACCTACATACCAAAAAAAGGCATAAGACAGCTAGAAAAGGTGGCCTTAGCAATTTGTTGAAAAGTTGCTAGATAGCAATCTATTCTTGGTAACCTCCGGATTACAGGATAAATTTAAAGATAATGTAGTGCGATAATATTAACGAGAACTCGGAGTTACACATGCAGGTAGTGGCGTGCTGTTCGCATAAAAGCCACAAATTCTTCTGTAAACACACAAATACCACTACATATGCAATTCCGAGCTCTCGCTCATATCACTGTATTTAATTACACTGTAATTTTGTAACAGCATTTCGATAAAAAGCTGCAAAAAGGATTTTGAGTTTTTTTATAATTTTTGAGTATATCACCGAGATCACAACACTAACTGGGAAAACAGTAGAGATGAAACGGATATCCGGTACTATCCGGTATCCGGCCTATTTTTACTATCCGTCCGGATACCGGATAGTTCACCAATATCCATTCGTATACCGGACATCTAAAACTGAGAAAATTCATAATCAGTACGCCAAAAAAATTGGTTTATTAATTAAATATGATAGTAATAGGATAAACAGCAACTACAGGATCGTTGATAATTTGATTATTACTTGGAACTGAATGAACAATGAAGTTAGATAACGCTATCTGTAAATTTAGTACTCAAATTTCAATAAAGGCAAATTGTGGTGGATAAAGACCAGTTTTTCTACATTTAATGGTAAAAGTTTAAATTTATTTTCATAAACAAGACCAGCTTCAGAAGGTAGTTTTTCACTATAAACTCTTACAGACTATGTTCAATTTTAAGTACTAGGGTACTTGTCATGACCAGACGACCAAATGAAAGGATCGGGGTCACGATAGATTTGAACTCAAACACAACGTGTACCTACAATAATGAAACGGTAAGTAGATAAAATATTTTTTTGGGCAAATCTGGTATCAAGGCCTAGAATTAGTTTGATCACAAACAAATTAACGAAAATAAATTGAAATAAAACAATAAGGGGCGTATCAAAAGCTAGGCTAGGCTATTTTAATACAGCCAAAGAATGATGTAATTGCTTTTTGTCCGTATTCAGAAGCGATGACGCAGCCTTTTTCGATACCTCCAATGAACACCACGCCAACTGTATTTTTTGGTCATTTTCTGTTATTTTTATAAACAGCCATATTTATTTACTAATAATGCTCCTCGAATTTTGTATTGAATTTTGTGAAAAAAAAGAAACTTAAAACTAAATAAAAACAGAAGAGGTCTAAAAATTAAGTTGGCGTAGTGGCTTTTTTTATAATAGTAAGTGATGGGACGAACAAGTCGTGCGCCTGATGGTAATCGACACGCCTGTCCATAACAGTTGCAGTGCCACTCAGAGCTTTGAATCTCAACGATCTGGGGTGCGCTGACTCTTCAAAACCGGAACGCAGTAATGCTCACATTACTGCTCGGCGGCAGAAATCGGTAAGGTGGCAGACTTACCTGGATGAACTCTTTCACAAGGAACTCTACTGCTACTTATTTATTGGAGGTACCGCTTTGGAGGCATCGTCGCAAATGGTGCTCGGCGCCTCCTAAAACCAGGGTTTTAGGAGGCGCCGAGCACCATTTGCGACGATTAACTTAAATAAACTTCCTTTTGTGAGAGTATTCACTCTTTTTACTTTATACGAAGATATTTATTCAAACATCTCTCGAGTAGGCTATTTATTACTGCTCTGTTGACATAATTTATACTAATGATAATGATAAAATTACAGGTATCTATAGCTGTAGATACAAAGTACATACATAAGCAAAAATGTTTATTTGTTTTTTATTTCTCTTCCCCTTCTTTTATATTACTTTGTCCTGCACGAGCTTTGTATGTGTTTATAATCAGGTATGTGGTTACAAATTTGAACCACCTTACTCCTAAAGCGTGAGTTGAGATTTTTTTTAATTACCATGACAGAACGAATGAGTCATGCGACTGCTTAGAGGATGGAAAAAAAATCAAAGAAAGGAGCTGCCCTAACTATAGAATCAACGTGCATATAACCAAAATTTGGAAGTTACAAATAGCGGATTTCTTTAGTGTTGTACCATAATCTATCGATAAGTCGTTATCGACATGCAAATGTATGGCTTGAATGTTGAAACTGTTTTTTTTTTGTTTCTTTAGTTTACTGTAACCAAAGTATGCCTAAACAAACACAAGTCTAATAATTTAATCTCGAGTGGTATATTATTATAAATGTCAACACACATTTTAAATTAAAAAAAAATATATTTTCAAGATTACAACTGGTACCTTATTTAGTAAAAGTCACCAAACTGCTGTGCAGTTTGTTGGCGACATGCGCATTCTTACTTAATTATACCTACTTTACTGGTTCATAACATTACGTAGTATTAATTGTACTTACTAAATAAAATATAAAAATTTCTTTAAGAGGTACGCCTTTAACCTACATTTTAGAACATATTTACATATCGTCTTTTAACTAACTGTCAAGAACAAGTCCATTCAGGTTTCTGCGGATTCTAGTATTCACGTTAATGGCTTTCTTAAACAAATAAATCTATCAAGCAATTTTAACTGGAAACTTATTTAGTAATAGTCACCAAACTGTTGTGCAGTTTGTTGGCGACATGCGCACTCTTACTTATTTTTGTTTTAGCGCTCACACTCAACATTGCCCTACCTATACCTACTTTACTGGTATATAACATTACATACAACAAAAACAATAAAAACCTCGTAGTGAATTGTTTTAATAACAGAATATCGATAATATGTATGCTTATAAGATCAACACTATCTCAAAATAATCGTTAACAACAATCATCAAAATATACAAACAAACAGGCAATCTAAAGAAACAAAAGCAAAATTTGGCAAGATTTATAAATAACCTACTTAAATAAATCTAATTAGATGTAATATTTGTGCTATTGTGTGATTTATAGACAAAAAAATAACATATGCCTGGGCAATGTAACATTCGATTGATTTGTACTTTTTGTAAAGCCATATCCCTAATGCTGCAGCGTCGCATTTTTATTAATACCTAATTATTCTCACTGTCTATATTTTTGTCCAATTTAATCATAATACATGCGAATAATTCAATAGTACATTTGGAAAAACATTTATTTTGATATTTCATGTACTTTGACAACGGTATCATGTACTTAATGTACTGCGAAATGGACACGGTTGGCATTTAAGATGACGTTACGTTTTTTCGATTCCCGTGTTTAACACAGACCAATGTAATGCTATCTCTTTTGGCTTAAGACGGCACGTAATAGTTAAACAAACACAATAACATGTTTATGTTTTCGACGTTGAAATGCATCATATACAACATATAACGTCTGATTTATATATGTCAACGTAACATGTCCTTTAGTTTCCATAGTCTAAGGGTCGTATTCTAGAACTCTACTCAATGCTCAAGTCAGGATTTGAGTATGGTTTAAAGCACTCGAAATCATACTCAAGTCCCTGCCATTAGGGTCGTATTTCCAGTGCAATCCTGACTTGAGCATTTAGACGAGTTTTAAATCACAAAGATTTTAAGGGCACTGACATTGCGCCCGTCATCCAGAGACGTAAATTGACAAGTACCATGTGCCTGTAATTTCACCAGCACCGTTACCCTTCTAAACCAGAACGCGGTAATGATCACATTACTGCTTGGCGGCAGAAATAGGAAAGGTGGCAGTACTATCCTGGACGAACTCTTTCACAATGAGCTCTACTGCTACTAAAATATGAATATTGAATATGCGTTTACAGTTTCCTTCCTGTATTATATAATGTAACTATATACTAGGAGTATACCAACTTTACTGCGTTCTGCAAATTACAGGCAAATGGGACTTGTCAACTTATGTCCCAGGGTGACGGGCGCAGTGGAAGTGCCCCTAATATCTTTGCGATTTAAAGCTCTGAGTGGCACCCCAACTGTTATGGACAGGCGTGTCGCTTAACACCCGGCGTTTGACTTGTTCGTCACGTCACTGGGTATTATAAAAAACAAATCAATTCATATTCATACAATTACAAGAGGAAGGTACTTCAAATTTTATGTAGATAAATATCACAGTAAAGCACAGGTTGGAGGCAATTGCCTAAAGCAGACCCCACACGCACGTACGAGTTGCCCGCCGCCTGTGCAGGTTGATATTTGAGTCAAGAGTAATTGAATTTCAGATTTTATAACTTCTTTCAATTGCCAGAAATCTAGAGTCTCTGATAATCTTTCTTTAAATAATGTGTTATCATCACCAACCCCCTTTCTACGTCCCACTCTTGGGCACGGGTCTCTTCTCGGGTGAGGGTTTAGGCCATAGTCCGCCCATAGCCCTGTCTCAATGCGGGTCGGAGACTTCACACGTTTTCCGAGGGTTGTGAACCTTCTTCGGCGTGCAGGTTTCACCACGATGTTTTCCTTCACAAATTTCGCACATAAATTCCGAAAAACTCGGAGGTGCGCTGCCCGGACTCGAATCTACGGCCTCTGCTTGAGGGGCGATAAGTCAGACCATTACTACTATCACTACTTAAAATAATGTATGTACATTTTAATAAATAAAATCAATTGAAAACAGGATAAATTAATACGAAATTTATTATCAAAGTTAATTATTATACAATATTATGTGATCACATAAAATGCAGTATGTAACATTCCACTTGTTCGCTAAACAATAACAACCATCAGGTTTGAGGACTCTTCAGCAATAAATTATGACTTATGGTGAACCACGGGCAATGGAGTATGAGTTTACGCCGCAATCAACACTACTATCATCCTGAAAAGGAAAAGAACATTATTATGTTCAATAGTGTGAAAAAACTTTATATTGTTCACTTGTTTCACTGACTTTTCGATATTTAGGTTTTGCAACCGGGATATCGGTCGTAGCAGGGCTAGTGCAGGAATTGTTTAAAAATATACGAGTCTTTAAAGGATAACACGCGGATTATATAACCAAATTTGCGCTAAAAATGTCGTGGTTGCATTACTCATAGATATCTGTTATTTACACTAGCTACAGCTACTTTATGTGTGGTACCTTCAACCTCCTAATGCCAAGTGAACATCAAAATGTACATTTTACGTGGAGTGATTCAGACACAGAATGTTCCTACGACCATGTACATTATAATGAAAATATCACATTCAAATTGGTGCTTTATATTCTATATGAGCATAGGGTATCTAGAAAAATACGACTTTCACACAAATTTTGCTTGGGCCTGAAGCATCTAATTATATTTAGTAAATTTTCATGTATGTCGCTTTTCCTATTGTAGATTGCTGGGCCATGGTCTTAGGTGTGCATCTGATACAAGTCACAGGTGTAATTTAGATAAGTACTAACAAATTATGGAACTTTTTCTGAAATAAAGTATTATTATTATTAGGATGTTAAGGTAGCCCGTAGGGCTAGCACGATAGGGCGCGACTCGCGCGAGAGCGACATAGAAGCGTGAGATATTGGTATTCTATAGAATAGCGAGAAGGTGATCTGCAACAAGTTTACCTATAGTACAAATACCAGTCTTTATTATTATGAAGTGTAGCATCATAACTATGTTGTAAAAACATTCTGTAAAGATACAATCAATATTTTTACCAGCATTAATTTTTATTACTTAAAGACATCAGAATTGTGAAGAATCATAATAACGATACTGAAAAACATCATCACAGCTGTGGCTTTACTTAAGTGGATCCTTTTACATATGCCATAGCCGAGCAGATGATTATATTTTAAATTTTGTGGTGATTCTTTGTAATTTTATATATTTGCTTTTTTGTTTTTTGCTCTTTGTCATCTGTATTTCAGTGTTGTGGCATTGCATAATAAATAAATATTTTGTACTCTATTACAACAAAGTTAAAAAAAGAAAAAGTGTGTGTGTG